AGCAGGAAGAGGGCACGGCATGTCCTGAAGCAAATTACAGCGTCGTCCTCCATGTGTATAACCGAGTGCAAAGGGGCTCGAGAACAACGAAGGAGAAATAGGAGACAATGGAAGAACACAGCTGGCGTGTAATCAACAAAAAGTTATGTATTCTATACTGACCTGCCACTCAGCAACGGAATACTCATCCAATTCCTATGCACAGATGTAGAGTACTGACCACGAGAAGATCACTTTGGTCAAAATGGGTGTCAGGTAGTATAATCCTCATTAAGGCCCACAAGTGCACAGCTGTCGAGGGTACTGAACGGCTCAAGAGTATTTCCAGACTCCGCTGACTCGGACAAATATTCGATCTTCTGTAAGAAGGATAATTGCCTCTGATATAAAGGAATGATGTGGAGCTTCATCTAACGGCGATGCGTAAGATAGCCCAGGAAAAAGAGAAATATCTATGTGGCAGCTGATACTCCATATCCCACATATGGGAAGTCCGTGAGCTGCGTATTATTTAAACGTTCGGCAGCTGCGCTTTTCGAGGGATATAGTAGTTTCAAAATAGTTGCAAAAATGACTTTGTCTAGTACAAGATAGGATGGAATTTGCATCAAATGAAATATCTTACGAACAACGCATATTCTAGTGAGTTACGCAGCCACGCCCGCTTCATCGCTGGGATGTGGGTGTGGACCGACCCTGAATAGTTGTCTATAAAGATCTAAAAGCTAATGTGACTTCAGGTTTGTAGAAACACTCGTTTGCGTATGGGAACGCCAGACAGAACCTATGCCGTGATTGGAAACTGTTCTTTTCATGCGTAAACCACAATAAATGAGTACCAAAAACCGATCATGCTGTTTCAGGGAGGAGACGTGTGCACGCCTAGCCAAGGAGCTCGGCTATCGAGTCGTCGAGCCGTTTGACGATCCGAATGTTATTTGTGGACAGGTGAGTTAGCCGTTCAGTAGCAACGTTTAACCTCTAGGTGAAGTAAGTTGGCTTTTTAAACGTACCATTCGTAACTGCCTACAATACGTATGAGACCGAATTATAGAAGCAGGTCGCTGGTCTACCTACGCGGGTCCGCAAAAAGTATACTTTTGTCAAAAGTATCTGTAAACGTATGGGTTTCCTTGCATGGTCTATGAGTTGCATATACCGTACGAAAGCATTCACAGAAACCCCTGGATTTTGAACTGTCCCTTTTTCTGTACATTTTCACATACTTTTTATGAAGGGATGAAGTATTCCCTTCCAACCAGTCCTTCCTTGGATGCGGCACGCATTCTACTTCCATTCAGAATCGCAGTGGCTTATTGAATGCGATGTGGCCTATACAATGACTTGCGGGGGCCAGCCGATGTACAATCAGTGTTCCCATCCTCCCAGACGGATCTTCTTCCATTTTGCCATCTCCGGAGAAACTGGGTCTGATTGGCCAGGGCAGTAGCCGATCCGGGAGTTGATCCACGACCATTCTTGTGGTAAGCGTGTCCGTTTGCCGCTACACGACCTTTGCCTCATAGCCTTCTATTGTTCTGAAATATTACAGTGCTAGTATAGAGTCTCTGAATAATGGACGTTATTCAAGCCGTGGCTCTAAGATAAGGCTTCATTTTCTAGGGTACCATCGGAGCTGAAATCATCGAACAAGTTCCGGACGCCGACGCCAATCTTCCTTGCCGTTGGTGGAGGTGGAATGGCAAGTGGTGTGACTGCATATGTTACCGAAGTTCGACCAGATATCAGAAGTGGGTCTCAACCTTCTCTGCAAGATGGATTCTATAAGTGTATTTCAGTATTTCTCGTCGAGCCGGTGGGGAAGGATTTGGCCGCATATCTGGCCAATGGAGAAATCACAACCGAGAGAGATGTGGTTGATACCATTGCTGACGGAATCAGGGTACTTAGAGTAGGCGACAACTGCTACCCCATACTTAAGAAATCTTGTACGGACAAAATCATTCACTGTGGCAAGTTTCACTGACTTTCACTGCTCGAAGTTAGACCACCCCTGCCGCTCCAGTATAAAGATTACCTCTGATTGATCACAGAATCGCGTTAGGAAAAACCAATCAGAAAGAATTTGACATTCCACAGCAAAAGACCAGGAAGCAGTGCTGCTTCAGATTTGGCAGACTTTCTCGCGCGTTTTGCGCCTCCCCTATGCGAACGCAGCCTTATTTCCAGGAATAGCGGTAAATTCAGGCGGGATGCAGCGGCAAAGCAACAAGTGCAGCGCGCTTACCACTTGTACAGTCCTGGGTTTAAATCCCGGGCGGACTCCGGCCAAGGCCAACCAAGCCTTCTACCCTCCAGGGACGGTAAATTGGTACCAGATTCGTCTGGGAGGATAATAACACTGACTTGTACATCGGCTGGCCCCCGCAAGTCATTGTATAGGCCACATCGCATTCAATAAGCCACTACGATTCTGAACGGAGTAGAATGCGTGCCGCATCCCACAATCAAGACTTTATCCTTTTATCCTTCTAAAGGGTAACTGACTGCATCTTAGGTCACCAAAACATGTGAACCTTCGTACACATACAGCAAAAGCATTTGATGAGCTGCGTCCATACCAAACGCCCAACTGAAGAATCGCAGTACCGCGACGAGGGATGATGCGCAACGGTTTTTTTTTTATCCAACCCTTTTGGTCTCATGCAACAATTCGAAGATTTTCTCGCATTTCGCATATTCTCTTATGTCACAGAGTTCAAAAATATTTGAGTGAGAGGGGAGTGGAGCGTCACATCACGTTGCGGCGAGAGCGGCAAAATATGCAGTAACAGTGATGTCACGTGCGCGGCATTTGCACCACGACCTAACTGATTTGACTGGGAAGTGCTGCAGTTAGATAGCTGGGATTGTAATTTGCGCGTAATGTGGTGAAGGCAGCAGGACATCGAAAGGCAATAGCTGGCAACTATTATAGTTTTGAACGACTCACTCCTCTTTCAACACTCTTATATCCTATCTCCCGGTGAAGGTTGTCAACAATGAGACATTTCCAGACAGAAGACGAGATTCGGGCCGCTTTGAAACTGATTTGGACGCGAACTAAGGTGAGTGACAGCATGTTCCCTCAAGTCTATTGACACATTGACAGTTGGATTTTTCAGCAACGTGTTGAACCGTCAGCAGCGGTGCCGCTGGCGGGACTCTTGAAAGTTTCTCCAGCCGAGCTTGGCATCAAGAAAGCGGTCCTGCTCCTTTGTGGCGGCAACGTGGATCTTGATTTTGTACCGTAAATCGTTAAAGCCTGAGTGTTACTTGTTGTTTTTTGTTATTAGAACGTAATTGATAAATCGCTTACTGAATCGCTCTCCGACAGGACTCATGTAAATCTTGTTGCGCTAGACTCATCATCCAGTATGGTAGCATAAGCTCAAAACTCCTCATCACATGCTGCTCATCGAGATTACCGGAAAGTCATAAATTATCCTTGCCATCTCCCCACATGAGAGACAAAAAATTTCGAATTCGCTACGCTTACGATTCCTGCAGAAACTCAACAAATGGTAATAAAATATCACATAGTAAGAGCAACGGGTTACAAAAATATTTTTGTGAAATAAAAACGGTTTGGTTGGCAGAGGCGAAGCCGCTTCAATATTTATTTGATCCCAGCCCGCGCGTGGTAAACGTGCCGTTTGCCACTAAATCATCTCATCTCGGAAAAACATATACAAACAAAAGATGAACAGCACGACAACAAGAAGAAAAGGTTGCAACAGAAAATTCGTAAGCGCCAGTTGTTGCCTTACCCTCTGAATTCCACGTTGAGAGGGGTCGTAGCTGCGGACACATGGCGGCACCCCCAAAATTTTTCGACTTCATTAGACGTTTTTATAATTGAGTGTCATTAGGCTTCAAATGAACTTTCCTTAGTGTAAACTGCTACTTTTTTCAATTTCAGTGCCACACGCATCATCAAGTACGTAACTACGACCCATCTGTCTCCGGGATTCAGTGTATATCGGACCATGTAATCATCCAGTAGCGCCCCCCTCCCTCAAATGAAGTACATATGCAGCCACCCCTACTGCATTTGA